CCCCCCCCCCCCCCGGCGTGAAAACACACCCCTGTCCATCTGTGCGTTTGTATATTACAACGAAGGGCGCGCGTGTATGATGAACACTCCCCCTCGTCTGCAACAACGAAATCACTAGTACACAATAAGTTTGATCCATGTTTTGCCTCACGAAGAGCGTGAATATTTAAAATGAACAACGCGAGTTTACAGGAGAGAGAGAGTGGGAGGAAGCGCTCCGCATTCTCCCGCTGGCACCGCTCATTTTGTTTCGAAAATATTTTTTTTTTCCGCACACAACGCGTGTGCAAAGTTTCGCCTGCTAATTGCGAGTATTGATTGGGGGACGAGACGCTCCCTCGGCACGCTTGGCTAATCAGCCGGATGAAATCGGCGAACGAACGCGCCGAGGCCCTCCGTTGCAAACATACACCAAATGCGAGACAAACAAACTGGGTTTTTCTTTTGTTTTTTTGTTTAAATTTTGTCGAAATGCCGCGCTGTTTGCGTGTTTGGTTTACTTTACGAAAATCACGCGATGTAGTATACCATATACGGGGAGTGTTCGCCACGTGCATTATTTACACAAATTTCAACCGAATAATCCGACGCAACGAGCTGTACACTGAAAATAAATAATCACAAAATGCAAAATATTTACTCGCTACGATTTGAGCCACTTACGTATTTTATCTGTGTACACCTTCCGGAAGAACGAAAGGGGAGCAGGAGGGCGATAAAGTAACCAAGCAACAATCGGAGCCCGGAGGGGCAAAAAATATACAATTGGCCGAAGAGAAAGACGTGGATGGGGAGATGGAGTGTTTCCTTGTAACACTTGAACTCACGGTTCTCTTTCTCTCTCTCTCTCTCTCTTGCTAAAGTATGTAGTAGTAGTAGTAGTGCCCACCTCCGACGTTAAACTCCTTTCTACCTCTGTTTTCCCGACCGAGCGTGTATACACGTACGGGTGTATACCTTCAGCCTCCCTATCGCTCACCGGGACTAGGTTTCCATCTTTGAGACAACGGATCGTAGTAGTAGAAGGGTATACATGAGGCACAGTAGAATAGAGAAAAGGCAAGAGAGAGAGAATATCGGCTCAGCAGCGCATGTACATACAGGTATATGTATATACAATGGGCCCTGCCTCGTTGGCATAGGATTGCTTCGGAAACATGATGAGGAACCATTCTCTTGTTCCTTTTCATCGATAAGCCTTCGGCGCTCTGAAACCTGACCTCCGAGCAGCTCTACGACGACGTTGCCTCCTCCTCCTCCTCTCTCTCCTTTCTTTGGATACATATCCAGCACCGCAGCCTCATATACTATATAACGCTCTCTCTCTGCTCCAGTGGTCGACGGCTCGTTATATTCTAATAATGCCTGGCAGCCCGCCAAGCCCACTCGATCGCTCCCTTTGCCTCCTTATTCTTCGGGTGCTATGATACCTCTTTTCCTTGCGGGACGCACGTGCGAGGCTTCGTCTGCGCTTGCTACGGGCCCGGGCTGTGGTGACATTTTAAAAAATATTTTTTGAAAGACACCGTCCTCTCTGATGAATGAATCAAGAGTCCGTCAAGGGAAACAAAAGCTGCAGTGATCGACGGACGCTGGAAAATGAAAAGTCCTCGGGATTTATATAACATTGTCATCCGAAACAGGTGCTAGCTCCAACTTGGATTAAATTTTGCATCCTCGCTGGTTATATGTACCAAAAGTATAAGAAATTGTATTGTATGTACACAAGTCATTATCTCATTCCTCGTGGGCTTGCGAAATAATTTCAATGCACAGGTTCGGCGTTGCGGATGATTAGTGCGACCGACCGCTGTGCTCGTCTTAACCGAAGGACTCTATTTCCTTTTTTTTTGTTTTTTTTTTTTGTTTTATCCCTCTACTTTTTCCGAGTTGCCGCTAGTCAATTGCCACACTGCACCTGCTCGTTCCTTCTTCGAGCGCAACCAACAGGTACCAAAGTGTTTCTCCCCCCTCTTTTTTTTTTTTTTTTATTTCCACCCCAAAAGACAAGAAATTTCAGTTATTTATTCTCTGTTGTACACACACAGACACACGCACTAAACCAGATGGTAGTAGATAAAGGTGAGCGTTAACGAGCTGGCACAGCCGAGCTTTTCACAAAAACAAGCTAGCCTGTGGTCATTTTGCTTGGAATGTTTGAACTGCATCGAGATATTTAGCGCAGGTGGAGGCAAAGGGGAGTACTTTTATGACTCGCAGTTTTTCAGCAATTTTGGCTCCATACAAGGGATGCTTGGCTGTGAGTGTTTATTGGGGGCTTTAATACTCATTGAGGTGCACCAATTTCAAATCTCTTTGAATCGGTATTCCAAACGTTCCCTTCTATTTTAATAAGCATTCATTGGAAGGTCCAAAAATTCAGTTGATTGAAATTTTTACTGATCGAATTTCACGTTTCTCCGATTTCATCTATACTAAAAAAATGGTTTTTAGTTAAAATAATTTTCAATAGACATAACGTAGGGGCGCACATTTCTTACACTTTAATGAATCTGAAAAATTTTGCAAAAGCCATCCAAAAGCTGAAAAAGTCTCTCAAAGACTGTGGAAGTTTTTTTTATGGTGCGCAACCCCTGATCTATCGTAACAGATAAATCATTATCTAAATTTTAATTTGGAGCACGGATCAAAGCACTCTTCCCGTAATTATAAAAGAAACGATTTTTCAAAGAATGCTTTCTGTAATATTATGAGAAAAGTTTGGTTGATGCTGCTACACCAGATGTGCGATATCACCGACACTCGTGTGTACCGCTGCATTTGTACATAAAAGTATCCACATGACAGTGAAAGAAGCGGATCTAACGCTGTAGCCAAAGTATTAAAAACGACGACCACCAAAGGAATCTTTCTATAGTCCTATTTACGACCAAGTAGTCGTCGCTGTGTCTATGTATACCGGGATACATAAGGAAGTATGATAAATCGATGTTAGTGAAAGGAAAGAAGGCGTTGGTTGGTGATAATATTGGCAGAGCTTTGCATGTCCAAGAGCTTATTGGTATTCCTCTGGTAGGTGTACATTTCGAGCAGCTGTGGCGTCGTTTGGAGAAAAATATTTTTCCAGAGCCAGAGAATGAAATGAGCGGAAAAAAGGACAGTAGTAGCATAAGGATGGAACTGTTATATAGGACAAGTGATAAAAAAGCCCCGAGAAAATGTCGCTGTCTGTAGACGCAGTAGTAATGGTATAACGGCCACAGCGTCGAAATCGGACAGGGGAAAGCAGAGAGCGGAAAGCGAGGAAAGAATAAGAGTAGCTTCCGGGACGACTGGAGTGGCTCTCGTAGCCGGCTTCTCCGAGACTCTTCGGAGTCACTTTCATTCTTCTCTACTGCCTCGCTTGTTCCCTCGTTACGTCGTCCCCTTGCGCCCCACCCCCTTTGCCACCCTCACTTCATCTTGACGTTCGTAATTTTTTCCCTTTTCTCTTTGCTCTCTTACTTTTACCGGTGGCGCAGCATCGAGTTACTCTCTTCTGTTGCCGGGGATACGATATCTACGTACCTGTACACGTAATATACCTGTAAAAGAACATTTTTAATGAATTTAATCATATCAGAGCGTCATCAAATAATGGCGAGGTTACAGCGGCTTGGGCGAAGTCAAGGATCCTCGTAGTTTTCAAACGGATCGTCTCTCGTCTCTCTTGGCTCTTAATATTTTTTATGTGTTTTTTTTTTTTTTTTAATTTCCAAAAAAGTAGTCGATACGAGCATTTTGATAATTTATCCCGCATAAGCTTCATTTCATTTGGAACAAAACACGTGTTCATTTGGTTTCGATTAAGTAACCCTTAATACAATTTAATAACAATGTATGACAATCATGTTAAAGATATTTCGATGAAATTCGTTAAAAAATGATCGTGTGCCAAAATTTGAACCCAAACGTTTTTCACCAAAATCTCCATTTTTGAAGTGTTCTCACATTCAATTTCACATGATTTTCCACATTTATAACCTGACGATCGATAGATGTGACAAAAAATATCTGATTTTTCCAATGTTTTGGCGATAGAAACTTTTATAAAGGAAATTTTTGACTATTTGACAAAACATGAATCAACAAGTCAACACAATATCAAAACGANTTTAAATAAGCATAATTAATTAAACTTTGTTGTTACGGCTCGATCCAAACAGAGACATTAGAAGGACACATATTTATTAAGCGAGATTGATCCAAGTTTTCTAGTATCACTATTAAGTGCTCTTTTCTCGTATAAAACAAGATAGTAAATTAACATTTAAAATTGCATTAACTAATTGAACAGTGAGACATATTGACAAGTTTTCTTTTTAAGGATTCGTTTTTGCCAAACAACTAATCAAACGTTAATCGACACAGTATTTAATAATAATTTGCAAGAAAAAAAAAACTTAACATTAGCAAACGATGCAAACTCAAGTTTTATACTTATGGAAGAAGATAATTAAAATTGTTGATACTTACAAACTACAGTGAGAAATTTCGAGCTCTTTTGCGTGTAAAAGCTTTCCGAGTCAGTAGTCGTTTCACAACTAAAGTTGCCAGTAAGTTGGAAATCTACATTTCTTATCACTACTTGGTTCTCAGTTGAAGTGTGCGGCTGAAACGAGAAAAAAAACCATGAAAAATGAATAATTTTTTATATTAAAAATCCATAACCTACTCTAATAACTTGACTGCATTTGAAAAAAAAAAAAAAAAATAGTTTATAACATGTTTTGGTTAGATTGATTGCGTGTCTATCTCTTTTCTTTCTCGTTATGTGAGACAAACGAATCGAGTTCATTTTGTAATAGCTTGATGGTCAGAGCTACCGGTAAATGCATCGATTAATTTACGCATCGATTATTCCAGACTCACGTCAAACACGCTCTCACAGTCAATAAACAAGCGGTGGTTATCGAGTCGATACTTCGTTTGTCTTACTCATCGAAATGGTCGCTACGGCTATGTGTTAGTCATTTTTTGTGCAGGTAGATAAAAAAACACGGCTCATTGTTTTAGCAGTATGGTATGGTTTTTGAAGGAGTATGCTTTTGCCCTAAAATTTTTTTTGAAAAACTAAAACTTTCATTGATTATTTCTCAACTTCGACTTATTTTCTGTGGGCACAGACTCAACCGGTATTCGCATGCTCAACAATTGACAAAAAACGTCAAAAAATCAGTCAAATAGGAGAATAAATATGAATAACTCATAATGTATCTAAAAGTACTTTCTAAATAATAATTAACTTGTTTTCGTAACCCTGACAAAGTACTTTATCTCGTAGTGCAAGTACAGACTGCTGCAAAGGGATAAAAAGTATACATAAAAAAAAAAAAAACCATTTTTCAAAAAAGATGTTGTTTGTGAAGCCTTTGTAACTTGCACATAATTAATAGCATCACAGATTCGCAGAATATCCGTAAAACGTAAAATGAACTCACATCTATCTGGATCCAGGTGTAGTTGAAAATTTTGATGGCGGGCGTCAGGCTGGGCAAGTACCTGTAGATCTCCTGTTCGCCGCGATACCATTTGAGCGCGAAAAGGGGCTTGCCATCGAGGTCGTAGTGACAGCGCAGCGTCGCGTCGTGGCCCTGCTCCACCGCATCCCTCGGCAATATTTCCAGTCTGATGCTCCTCGAGTTCGCGTCTGAAAAATAAAGCGTATATTTGCTTGATTACAAAGGGTTGGAATTAATTATTTCATCAGGGCCACTGAGCTATAATTTTGTTTATTTCTTTTTTTTTTCATAAAAACAAGAAATGTATGAAGATCATGTGACACGTTTATTTTCTCCCTGTCTACACAAATCACACGCTTTTTAGGTGATACATTCAGTGGATATAAAAATGTTTGCACATTCACGTACGCACTGGCGCATGGTGAGACAAAACAACAAGTCAGAAAAAAGTGTGTAAAGTAAAAAAGTGAAGCAAAAAAAAAAAAAAAACTGAAGAAAACAAAGAAAAACTAGTATGAGGATAACCAACAACACTAGAAAGCGAAAAACGTGGATGAAAAGTAAAACTGTTGTTCTTCCTAGATGCCTTCCATATGCCCCTCGTTAAAAAGAATCTCTCAAACGAAAGAGCATTCACATCACGTGGAAGAGATTTTATCTGCATGGTGCACATCGCTTTAATGGTGATCGATAGAACTGTCACTGCAGTCATTTTCAGATGATGTATGTACGTATACACAGACTCTTGTACTTACTTAACTATACGTATCATATTTTACACACTTTTGACTCACTGTCAAGAAAACAATTAAAAGCAAGAATAGTTATGAATCTTAAGAACACCGGAGATATATACAAAAGCTTGATCGAACCTGTATGGGAATGATTGGGAAATGTCATAAGATTGTGCAATAGCGCAGGAGTATAAACATGTTGTTGGATAGAGTACGTGCAGCATGTGCGTGTGGACTAGGGTGAAAAGCTGTCGACTTTTATTGACTCAGGAGCTTCACAAAGGAGACAAATATATATGTCTTCGCTTCTCATTTCTGTGATGGCACACACGAGTGCGCGTTCACTTTGCTTCAAAGGTGAGCCTTTTCTGGCTTACTACAGTTCCCTCGTTCCTTTCCAAGCAATGTGATCCACATACATGACGACAATATTATCATGGTAACGTCTTTAATATTCCGAGTATTATCAAAAAAATAATAAAAATAAGACTTTGAAATCAACTACCAGTTGCTTTTTTTTATGCAGGGCAAACTAAAACCAAAATCGGGGTTTATTTGATTTGAGCCTTGTTATTTAGCTTCCAATTACATAATGCAGTGTAAAACCTCTTACTTTATACTAAATACATACAAAACTGTATAAACCGACGTGTTATACCTTTTTCGAGTAAAAAAAAAAAAAAAAGGAATCCAGCGGGAAGACGCTGCTGCACCAACTCACTTGAGACTCTGGGTGGGAAAAAAGAAGAGTTGTACATTATACAACTGTCTTGGGCGCACCGCAGCTTCCCCGTACCTATATATTTGCTTGGAAAATAGTTTTCTTCGCCAGCTTCTCTTGGCTCGATTTTCTTCACTGCTCTGCCGTTATGATATTTAACTTGGTAAAGGAAACAGTACAAAAGCTTTTGAGACGAACAACGGCTGTGCATAAACTAAGCTGCAGTGGCATCGCAAGTGTTTTGGGTGAATGAGATGTTTTGTCTTGGTACCTGTGGACTGAAAGTATACGTGGTGAAGCTAGGAGTTCAAAAAAGTGAGCGAGGACGTTATACCGTGTGAGGTGGGCAGTTTAAATTTCTTTGGAAAGCGCAAGCTCCGATACTTTTAAACGATGTGGAAGAGTGAAATGTGCAAGTGAAAAATATGTTATCCCAAGAGGGAGGGCTGTTCGTGTCAAATTAATTGACCGCATTAAAATTTTAAATAATAGAGCTAGGGAAGTAATGGGTCCATGGGGACGTCTCGTAAGATATCCAGTGGTAAAAAAAAATTAAATAAATAAACAAATAATGAATAAATGACGTATTTCTTGAGTGTCTCCTATACATGATATGTATGTGCTCCTTTGTCTTTTTTCTTTCTGATGTATCATTCACTTCAGTAAAATCCAAAATGTAAGCTTTGTATGTGCATCCAACATAAGTAGAAAATAATGACGTTTGTCTGTGTAATGGAGAAGTGTAATATTTTCCTTACAGTGCATGTTTGTACATTATATCCAACAATACAAGCGCAACATCTTAGGAGGGACATAGTGGAGAAGAATAACATTAAATTAGATGCTTCAGGGGAATGTCAGTGTTGGCTTCAACTTTTGACTCTCGAAAATGATCAATTTTGTTTCATTAACATACATTTTCAGCGTAATGGAACGGAGATTCTACTTTGTAAATTCATGTACTTACAAAAGTTGACTCTTAAAAGTTTAATTTCTTACTTAGATTTTAACGATTTTAAATGTTTTTTAATTACACGTAAAACAGATAGACGTAATGAATGTCTATGACAAATGGATTCAAGGATTTTATTTCGCAATAGTTGAATGTACAGTGTATAAAATTTGGTTTTAATTAAACAATTTTTAATTAAAACTATATCTTTTTTTTTTTTTTTAAAGCTCGAGAGACCCACACAAGCCTACATCCTTGTTAATGGATTAAATGAGCCCGAGTTTACTAATACCTAGCCACGTTATAAAGGAGCAATCGTTCGAGTAACACCGACATGGGCGCAACAGGAATCTCGTCACTTCCATGTAGTAAATTGATGTTCACACTGATGTTATAAAAATTCAGAGTTTGCAACAAAACCACTTCACATTCGCGTACCACCCCATCAACAGCAGTAAATTATTCCCCAAATACAGGTAATCGTAGATAGACTTGAGCAAATGATTTTATGGATTTTTAAGCCCTTCGAGAGAGCGTTTTTTCCTCAACAATTTACATTTCTTTGACCTGGAGAAATTTTTATCCATCAATACATTCACTACTGACAAAATTTTTTTTCTAGCAGCTGTTAAAGCTTATTTCTAAGTATTGAAAACAAAATACTTCAATACATTTTTTTTAATCTTTGACTTTTTTTCACCTGAATTGTTGCTTCTTTCTCATTGTAATACATTATTTTTGATGGAGAAATTTTTTGTTCAAGCAAAAAATGATATTGCAAAAAAATACTGTAAATCATCCGTATCCAAATAGTCTCTGGCGTCACAATGGTGGGATATACTTTTTCTTCTTTAAAGAGCTCGCAGATAGCACCACAGCTCAGTGACAGCCAGCCCCGGGGAGTATGTATCTAATGTGAACGTCGAAGAGCGAATGATATCGCGTGAAAATTGCACCAGTGTGTATCTATACCCCTCTCTCATTCGCTCCCTCGGTGCTGTACCTATTTACTCACTCACACCAGATTACAGGTCGATGCGAAAATTTAGAGTTTGTGTCGGGGGAAATGACTAGTGTCGCTTAGGGAAATGAGGAAGCGAGCCCCAACCATAGCATTACGAACGACGCCACCGTGTACAACTACATAAGGTGTTGCTCATTAAATGACAGGGGAAAAAGCTTTTTGACAACTAGGACTCAGAGCCGGGGTGAAATTCTGCAAGTGGAAAAAAATTGAACGTCACGAGAGAATAGGTTGTTCTTACAATGTCTAATATGCCTCTACTCGCTGGGAACAGATTGATATCATGTTGTAGAAATAAACAGATAGCTGATCTTCGTGTAACAACATTAATGCACCTGATAAATCAACGTAATCTTGCTAGCCAAAATCAAGTCAAAATAAATGAAAGTTTAGCCTTGGAGATTTTTTTATGTCATTGCTTGCAGCGCGTTGTTATTTCAAATGGAGGGTACGAAAAATTACTTGAATGGAAAGTCGGTGTGCATGCAAAATGGAAATTTATTTAGCAAGCCATCGGCACTCGAGAGGGTGCATAAAAATACTCATGGGAGGAGGAATGAAATAGAAAGGACTCGGTGGTGGTAAGGGCCAGAGGTCATGCACAGCTAAGAAAGGCAAGGAGAATTCGACTGGTGTGGTAAGAGAGGCAGAGGTTAAAATGATCCTTCCGGTGCGAAGTGAGTAAAAAGCCTAGGGTGGATTTTGCTTTGCTTCTACTTACAACACTCTCGCTGCGTCATTTTGTCCCATGCCTTGCTCTCTTTCCCTCCTCCCTTTTGATACAATCGCACTGTACCTGCAGAAACCGTCCAAGTAAATTTAAAGGCCTCTTGTATTTTCCGCTGTTACCAGGCCTACTTCTTCCCCTCTACCTCTCAGATCTTTTGTAACACCGCATAGGGGGTGCTGATAAAACGAATCGGGGTGATGACTTTCGTGCGACACGAGCAGGAAAAAATGGGTTTTCTCCTTGTTACAATATTTTTTATTTCCTTTTTTTTAATAAAACCAGTTGTATAATTTCTGACAACGAAATTAGAAATTCCGGTGAACAGTTTTTACTCGCGGACTTTGATAAGCGAAGTGTACATTTTTTTTAATTGGAAAATCTATGAAACCACTATGAACGGAATAAAAAACAAAATAAAGTCACGGCATACAAACAGAAAATAAGAAAAAGGAAATAAAGGATCATATATCTACCAAGAGTGTTTGGTTGCTTGTGTCGCAGGGAAAAGTCGTGCAACGAAACAAAGCTGCCCCACATAACTATGTCCGTCTATTGCCTTCTCGAGTGTTGGAATGAGTTGCTAGCACGTTTTTTTAATTACTCTCCAACTAAGTTACGTCAAAGATTTTTTTCAAAAAATTTTGAGACTTGTTTATACCAAAATACGTAAAAAGATCATGCAGAGTCCTTCCAAAAATCATTGTTTGTATTTTATTTCATCACGATATTTAGTTCGCAAATCATAGAGAAACAATAAAGCTGTGCTGGCACTGCATGAAATATCTTTTTAGCACGATTAATTTCGCAATTTTACTAATAGTGAGATTAATTAATCGAAAGTGATGGTGGTAGCTATTTTTGTCTGGTTAAACCAACCGGTTTAACGACTGTAACAAATGAATACCGAGTACTTACACCAAATAATAATTCAACTAGTCATTCATCTGTGTGATCATAATCAGAGTTAATAAGAGATGTGATCATTTCACTGAGGAGGCTATCGAAGGTTTGCAGTGAGTGACGAGCT